TTAAAACTCTTATATATATATATATATATATATATATATATATATATAATATATATATAAAATTACATAAATTACATAAATTGCTAAAACCCAACGACAGCCTCTTTCTCTTTACTTCCCTCTCCCTCTTCTTTCTTTTTCCTTTTTCTTTTCTCTCTTCTCCCCTCCCATTTCAATATATCACTTCCGTTATGTTAACCGTCTAAATAGGTCAAGGTCTGGTCACTCCTCCTCCCCCAATATAAAGTATACTTGAAAGAGATATGAAATTAATCCCTCCCTATACTCTATCATGTCTCTTTAACTACTCCTTTTACACTCTCTGTTAAATTACAAAAACTTACACTACCCATCAATTTTAATTCCATTTTTCATTTCATTTCATTTTTGTAAGTGCTATCTGATGATCCGGGCTCTGGTGAAATAAATTATTATAATGGTACCTTAAAATGGTCTGTTTTCCTATATATATATATATATATATATATATATATATATATATATATATATATAAAACTATATTAGTAAATATAACAGACAATGAATATCTATTATCTCTAATCATGAGCCGTTCGAATATTTTTTAAATACACACTCTTTCAGATATTGGTGGCCATCTACATTAAAAGCAAGCAACCCACACTCAGCAAAATTCAAACTAGCCAAAACACATTACACTGCATCTAGACATTCGGTCTGTTGTAATATTTCGGTCTGTCGTGAGGTATGACGTCATAGGACTTAATCGAACTTACGATCTGCGTCCGCTGTTCAGCATCCGTTATCATCGCATAGCAATCTTCTATTTCAGAATAACAAAATATCATCTTTGACGGTGGATATCCTGGTTTCATGTCTGAATAACCAGTCTGAGGATGGATCGTGTGAGTCGAAAAGTTAGGGCCTAATTAATAGAAATATATCCTACATTTGGACAATTTTTGTCTTTATTTTCACCAGAAATTAAACCAAACATAAAAGCGGCTCATGATCAGACATTTATTGTCTGTTACATTTAATAATATATGTTTACATAAAGATCTTTTGCCCCAATACACTATATCTCTCTCTCTATATATATATATATATTTAAGTAATTCATCGAGTCTGAACGAAACCTTAACAGAATGCAGGGTCGTTTCGTCCTATATTTGGGACTCATCAGCAGTGCGCATCCACTACCGAGAATTGAAACCCTGACAGTTAGGTTGTCAAGCGAACATCATACCAACTGTTCCAATGGGCCTCGGTGACAAAGAGATTGCAAATCAGACTCAACAAAGCGCTGCTCGCTCACATATTCCATGGTGGAACTCTACTGAGTTCTCTCTACTGTGCCCCCTGGAGCCACGACTACTCTCACTAAGCCGCTCACTCTAGAGCATTAGAAGCCGGTTCAAACAATGATGTACATGATAGAAATTATTAGGAGGATTTGATAATTATATTTAAGTAATTCATCGAGTCTAGAAAAAAAAAAAAAGAAAGAAAAAAGGAAAAACCTCAACAGAAATCACTGGACGGCCGTTTCGTCCTTTATTTGGTACTCATCATCAGTGCGCATTCACTACCCAGAATTGAAACCGTGACAGTCAAGTTGTCAAGCAAACATCATAGCAACTGTTCCACCAGGCCTCGGTGACAACGAGATTGCCAATCAGCCTCAATATAGCGCCGCTCGCTCGCTCACCTCTTCCGTGGTGGAGCTCTTACCGAGTTCTCTGTAACCATAGGAACCATTTCTATCACACACACGCACGTGTGTGTGTGTGTGTGTGTGTGTGTGTGTGTGTGTGTGTGTGTGAGAGAGAGAGAGAGAGAGATTTCACCATGTAAAGCAGTAAAGCCACTAAAACGCAAGTGGTTTAAAATTTGTGGAAGAATTAGGAACAGAAACATTAATAATGAGCAGAAAGGAAAAGAATAACCAGGGAGACAGTAGGTAGCGATTGACATCGTATTTAAATTTTTGCAGTTTAAAGTTGGCTGGAAAGCTTGGAGCTGTAAGTGTGTCCTACAAGCGAGAAGTGCGAGAAAATAAACTCATAGCATAGAACTTACAGCTGCATCGTGTCAACACACCTGTCATTTGATGAGATCTCGGCCCCAGTTTAATATTTCGCTTAAATTCATAAAATCTAGGTACCATAGCTAAGAGCTCATCCGAACAATTACCATGAAGACATTTATAGAAATGGCACTGAGAGGCAACGTTACCGCGGCTTGAAATTGACAGAAGCCGAGCCGCCAGATCAACACCAATAATATTGCTGATTCTTCTTTGGATCTTATGAAGGAACTCTAGGTAAATATCTGGTGCACCGGACCATGTGTGACTGAAATATTCTAAGCTTGGATGAATGGTAGACGAATAGATATGTATGATGAATTCGGGAGAGAAAATCTGTCTCGCAGTGAACCGAGTTTTTAGCAGCTGAGCTAGCAATGGTTTCAATATAATCTTTCAACTTCATGTCGTCTGATAACGTTCGCCCGGGAA